ACACACACACACACACACACACACACACACACACACACACACACAAACACACCTTGATATATATATATACACACACATATTTTTTGTGTGTGTGTTGGAGTCCCACTCTTTGTCACCCAAGCTGGAATGCAGTGGCATGCTCACGGTAACTGCAGCCACAGCTTGCTGGACTCAGGAAATCCTTCTGCCTCAGTCTTCCAAGTAGCTTGAACTACAGACGCGTGCCACCATGCCCAGCTAGTGTTTGTGATTTATTGTAGAGACGAGGGCTCATCAAATTGCCCAGGCTGGTCTTGAACCCCCAGGCTCAGGCAATCCTCTCGCCTTGGCCTCCCAAAGTGCTGGGATTACAGGCTGAGGCACTGCACCCGGCCGGAATATATTATTTTAAATAAACTTTCCTAGTGATTCTGATGTTCTTGACCTCGTAAGTGAAAAGCAGAGTACTGAGCAGTGCTGGCTACGCAGCGCATCTCCCATGTGGTATGGAACATGAATTGCCTATCATTTGCCTGGGCAGACAACCTCCCTTGTTCATGGACAAATTTAAGTTGGTCTTGCTTTCCTGGGTAATGATCTTTCATGATTTTCCTGCCTCTATTATTTATTCTTCGCACTTGAGGGCCTCCAGGTACACATGTTATTATTGGCCAGGCTGATAGGATAGATGGATAGATGGTGTCAGAGAAAAAGAGACCACCGGGGGATGTGCAGGTACAGGAGCAGCAGGCTTCCGGGAGCCTGTCTGGCTTCCTGATGGGATAGGTGGCTTGCAATCAGAGAGGGACACTGAGCTCACCATGGCAAAGCCAACGTCCGCTTTCTTCAGAGCAGGCCCATCATTTGTGCCATCACCAGTGACAGCCACCACCTGCCGCTGTTCCCCAACAGTGCTGTCAATGATACCTAGGAAAGAGACACACGCCGCAGTGAGTACACCTGTGCTGCCTGAGGCTGTTTGGCAAGCACTGTTTCCCATGAAGGTGCTCTGTGGTCTTCCTCCATCCCTGCCACCCCCAGCCCTTCAACTTTCTTCTTTCCCTTCACTTTTCCCAATGCTAGAGGTTCTAGCATTGCAAGGGCAGTATGTAGTCTTATGGGTTGCTCACTGAGCTAAGCAAGTCTGTCCTGGTCCGGCACCACAAGGAAGTTATTATGTGGTGATAAAAGCACCAGATGGATTTGAAGGCAAAGACCTAGGGGTCAAACCACACCTCTTCCACCCACCAGCTGAGTAATGTGGATAAGTAATTTGTCTTCTCAGTCTCAGAATTCCTTATTTACAAAACGGGAATAGTTTTACCTGCCTTGACCACTTCACAGTATGACGGGCAAATAAGATAGGACCATGTTTTAAAAAACCCAACAACTGTATTCTATGTCATACTCACCAAGGGCTCAGGTGTTTGCTAGCTCTATTTTCTCCCCACTAGCTAGGGAGCTCTCCTAGGGCCTCCCTATGAGACAGGAGAGCTGCTTTGGCTGATGGTTCTTACCTGTCCTGGCCCTGCCTTCATCAATTGCAGGCGCCTACTTGGAGTCAACCTCACCTTTCACCAGCGTGTGCTTGTCAGTGGGGGAAGATCGTGCCAGGACCCGGAGCTTCGGCCAGATCTTGTCCAGTTTTTCTTGCTCTACCTGCCAACACCAGACCACACCTAGATCAGTCAAATTCAGAACGGCTATCCAGGAAAGTCTTCCTTCTCTACATACTCCGAGCTCCCAGGACGTCTGGTACTCTGCAGCTCCATGTGGCAGTGTTATCCCGGTCTTCAGTCTCACGGTGGATTCGTGAATGGTGACCTGCTTTTCTTATTCTTCCTCCCAATTCCCTACCTGGGAGCCAATTCACTATTTCTTAGGCCCTTAACAGGAGGTGGGCCGAGGTAAGCTCTGGTTTAGATGACTACCATGGTGCTGCTGAGGTCTTAGGTTTGATGAGTACGTAGCTCAGGAAAGCTTTGGTCGGCTCCTTCCATACCATATCTCTGTTAGCCACCATTAGCCAAAGGGCAGTGATGTAGGGGGGGCAGGGTAGGGGGAAATTAGTACAAAACGACCACATGACTGAAAAAGCCAAAAGACATGAAAAGTTAGTGACGCTGTCTCAAGAGACAGCTTGTGAAAAAAGATAATGAGGAAAGACAACTCCCAACGCTACCATCTGAGCAGCTGTGATAGAAGACCTGTTTCCCTATGAATAGATTTGTGTTGAGAAATACCCACTTTCTCCCACCTGTCCCAGATACCTTACACTAGAAGGATCCTTCCCCTTGTCTGGGGAGACCCTGGCGCCTCCCATCCAGGACCCACCTCGCCCTTCTCGTTTCGGATAAGTCGGTTGAATTCTTTGCCTTCTAAGCACAAGAAGTCATCCCCAGGTGTCAGAATGCCACATTTGGTGGCGATGGCCCGGGCTGTGTTGATGTTGTCACCTGTCACCATTCTGACAGTAATGCCAGCTCGTTTGCATTTGGCGATAGCTTCTGGTACCTATGAAGAGTGAAGAAAGAAAAAAGGGACAGATGGGGTGGTGACCCTGGAAAGCTGCCATGTTCATCTGTCCGTTTGTGGTAGACAGGAGAGAGAGATACCCCAGAAGCAGTGCCATGGGGCATGGGCTAACTCTAGTCATTTTTTTTTTGAGTCAGGGTCACACTGTCGCCAAGGCTGGAGTGTAGTAGCATAATCCCGATGATCACAGCTCACGGCAGCCTTTATCTCCTGGGCTCAGGCGATCCTTCCACCTTAGCATCCCAAGCAGTTGGGACTACAGGCGTGTGCCACCATGCCTGGCTAATTTTTGTGTAGAGTTGAGGTTTTGCTGTGTTGCACAGGCTGGTCTCAAACTCCTGAGCTCAAGCAACCCTCCTGCCTTGGCCTCCCAAAGTGCTAGGATTACAGGCATGAGCCACTGAGCCCGGCCTAACTCTGGTCATTTTTATATTGCTAGGTGCCACCTCACTTCTGTCCCTCCCACAGTAGTCACATTTGAGTTTGCCTTATTGTACCATGAGTTGAAGGGGAGATTTGCTTTGGGAGCTAGTGTCAAACCTCTTCCACTTCTCACTGAGACTCTTAGCAGACATGGATGATGGTCTGAGATTTAACCCCTTTCCAGCAGAAGCTCTTACCACTCTTCACCCACCTGGCCCACGCTCCAACTATATCAACTCTTTGTGATTTCCCAAATTCATGACACCCTCTCATGCCTCTGGGCCTTGGCCATCAATAATCCATCTGTCTGAACTTCTCAGAAGCAGAGACTTCTTCAATTCCCTAGTGTCCGGAATCATGGTCAGCATATAGCAGGTACTCAAAAAGAATGTGTGGGTTGAAAGGAGGTAGCTAAAGACAAAGTTGGTGTCCTGGTAAAATGTGCCTCCTGACACGTCTTATGTGCCAAATAATAAGCACAATAGAACTCTTGCTCTCAATACTCAGACAGCATTAACCCCAGGAATGCTACATTCTGTCAGTCTGGCACTCCATAGCAGTTCTGTGAAGCAGGAAACATCTACCCCTTAAGTGAGAACGCAGGTCACTTGCCAGGAGTCACAACTAGATAGGGAACTACTACCCCACCACCCCACTTCCAGAAACTCCTAAGTGGCTTCCCATTAGGTCACATTGGGCCCGCACATGGGCTGGTAACCACTGGAAGACTGCCATTCATGTTATCTTGCTCTTTCTCCAAGCCAAAGCCTCACCTCTGGGCGTACAGGGTCCTCAATGCCCACCACTGCGATACAGGTCAGTTCAGTGAGGATTTCATTCTCATTGTCCCAAATGGGCTCTGTGTCATCGAAATCCCGGTAAGCTATGCAGATGGTCCGGAGTCCCTCACAGGCCATGGGCTCGATGACAGTGCGCACCATGTCATCTCGGTCTTTATTCTTGAATGGAATGGCTTCTCCTTTCCGGTCCAGGATTCTATTACACCTGGGGAGGTGTACACTCAGAAAGTGGGGTCTCCCTTCCCACTCCATAGAGTTCTACAATCACTGACAGACATTTTGGCAACTCTACATTATTCCTAAAAACACTAACACATGGCCAAACATGTCCACCCATCGCCCAGTTGATTCCCTCTTTCCAAGGTGAGGAGGCCTGTTGATGAACTAGGATCTGGGTAGGTGATGAGTGTGATTCTCCCGAGTCATTTGTCTTATCTATATGCAGGTGCAGTGCTGTTTCTCCAAACTTTTTAAAAGTGGAGAAACTTTTTCAGTATCTAGAATAGTGCTCAGTGTATGGGAGGGTGGAGCGGGGAGTGCTAGACAAAAGCATGCTGATTAAAAGAAGGCGTCTAAAGCTGAGTTGGGGCACTGGTTAATTCCTCCCCATTGGCCCTATACCCACGTAGGTCAATTTTTCATCATTTGTGGGTAATCCAGTCACGTTTAAAGTTATGCAACTTCCCTGTCATCGGAATTGGAACAGAAAAGAAAAGAGAACACAGAAGTAATGTTTCTAGTACTTGCTATGCACAAGGCATTTCACATACATTGAATTATTTAATCATGGTGAGGTGGGTAGTATTATTATGAGCTAGATGAATATCTGTTTTCAGACTAGGAAATGGATGCTTAGATAGTCTGGGTCTGAATCCTATCTGTGCCACTCTTAGCTGTGTCTCCTTGAGCAAGTGACTTGAACAAGCAACTTCCTTGTACCTCATCTGTAAAACAGGGATAACAGTACCATCTTGTTGACTTGAGGATTGACAAGAGCTACCTAAAGCACTTAAAAATAATGCTTGGTCAAAGTAAATGCACAGATGTTAGCTATGTTGTCTCTCACATGGGTACAGCATGGGGCATGGCACCCACACCTCCCTGAGGGAGGATAGTGAAGAGAGGAAGAGGGGAGAGTGTTTACTTGCGCAAGATGATCTCAGAGGCGCCCTTGCTGTACATGCGGAAGCCACCGCTGGGACTCCTGATGACCGTGCTCATGGACTTGCGCACCGAGTTGAAGGTGTACACCTTGTAGAGCTTCTCCTCGGGCACCTCGTTGCGTACTGCCTGATAATCTTGCTTCAGATCTGTGACAAAGCCCAGCAGGGCACACTCCGTCTTGTTGCCCACCTGCCGTGGCAGGCCTCCTTCCTTCTCTGGAGGCTGAGAGAAAAAACACACACAGGACTGTTGAATAAGATGCCCTGACCAAGGAGAGAATGTAAGAAGGAAAGGACTTAGAAGACTTTCACATATATACACAAAGTCCATGGGAAAATGGCGCTTGTTTGTTTGTTTTACTTTATATATTTTTTACAGACAAGGTCTTGCTCTGTTACACAGAATGGAGTGCAGTGGTGAGGTCATAGCTTACTCTGTCTTGAACTAGGCTTAAATGATCCTCCTGTCTTAGCCTCTCGAGTAGTTGGTACTACAGGCATGCACCACCACACCTGGCTAATGTTTTCTTTTGCTTTTTTGAGTCAGAGTCTCACTCTGTTGCCCAGACTAGGGTACCCTGGCATGATCAAGATGATCATGGCTCACAGCAGCCTTAACCTCCTGGGTTCAGGCAATTCTTTCACCTCAATATCCCAAGTAGCTGAGACTACAGAAGTGCACTACCACGCCTGGCTAATTTTTAAATTTTTTTGTAGCGATGAGGTTTCACTGTTGCCCAGGCTGGTCTCGAACTCCTGGGCTCAGGTAATTCTTCTGCCTCAGCTTCCCAAAAGTGCTGGGATCTCAGATATGAGCCACTATGCTGGGCCTGGCTAATTAAAAAGAAAAAAAAATTATAGAGATGATGATCTCACTATGTTGCCCAGGCTTATCTCAAACTCCTGGCCTCAAGTGATCCTTCCATTTTGGTCTTCCAATGTGCTGGGATTATAGGTGTGAGCCACCACACCCAGCCCAGTATTTGCTTTTTTTCAAGGGTAGGCAGATGGTGGTCAGTGGTGACTGTGATCCCCATTCCATCCAGCGTTTAGGGATTTTGTAGTTTGTCCTAGTGGTAGTGCTGATATCTCACCTGGTATGGGTCTCATTCTTATACCCTAACCTTGTTTCTGGAAAGTGAGCAATTTATTCCTGATAAGCCCATTCTACCACCAGCATGAGGTCCCTCTTTAGAGATATTGTCGGGCTCGGTGGCTCAGCCTGTAATCCCGTGCTTTGGGAGGCTGAGGTGAGTGGATTGCCTGAGCCCGTGGGTTCAAGACCCTCCTGGGCAACTTGGTGAGACCTCATCTCTACAATAAATCAAAAATTAGCCGGGCGTGGTAGCACACACCTGTAGTTTCAGCTATTTGGAAGGCTGAGCGGAAGGAGCGCCGGAGCCCAGCAGGTTGAGGCTGCGGTGGCCAGGAGCAGCCACTGCATTCCAGTCTGGGCGACGGAGTGAGACTCCGACTCAAAAAAAAAAGATATTGCCTTTACATGGTAATTGGAGCATGGATTCCTGTCGGCCCTCACTCCCAGCCCTCCAGCGACTCCCCTGGATTATTGCCCATTCTCACCTAAACCTCCTCACTCAGGAGTGAGGAATGGGATATGGGATGGCAGTTCAGACAGAACAGACAGAGAAAATTAATGTTTCCTTCCAACCACTCATTCTAGGTGTTCAGGCAAAGGAAAAGCTTACCAGAATCTTGGAGGTATAAGCACTGTTGATAGAAATCCCATTGACAATAAGGTCCAGGACCTTGGGCAAGAAGACATCAGGGCTTGGGATCTGACGGTAATGGGTGTCCCCAACATAAGCTTGTACCACAGTCATGCGATTCATGGTCAGCGTGCCTGTCTTATCAGAGCAAATGGCTGTGGCATTGCCCATTGTCTCACAAGCATCCAAGTGTCGTACAAGGTTATTGTCTTTCATCATTTTCTACAGAGGAGAAGAGAAAACAGTTGAGGGGGACCAACTGGGCTCTCCCAAATATAGGTCAAAAGCCTTTTCCTAGCTAACACCTTTCCACATTTCATTTTCCAGTCCCATGCAAAAATGCAAGATACTATTTTTGTCAGTCCCTTAAGATTCTCCTGGGTTGTTTAAGTGTTGATGCATCTGATTGAGATGGTGCTACCATAGTGCCAGGGACTTCTGCTCTTGTGAGGCACCATCCAAAGTTTATAGAGGATAGAATGGTTCATCCTTTCACTAAAGGTTACTTGGGACACTCCCCTCCCACCTCTATCCTAAAAGAAGAGATAGCATTGTTTCAGTCTCACCTTCACAGAGTAGGCCAGCGAGATGGTGACAGCCAGTGGCAGCCCCTCTGGCACAGCTACCACCAGTACAGTGACACCAATAATGAAGAACTTGACAAAGTACTGGACGTAGATGGCAGTACACTCAGGTAGCCACGGTCTGCGGTGTATCACAAAGTTTTCAATCACAAAGTACAGAATCAGGATGAGAACTGTGATAGCAGACATGATCAGACCTGTCCAGGGAAACAAGTCACATGAACCCAGGCTTGACGGCATTCCAAGGCCCTAGCCAGAGGTGGACTGGCATAAATTGTAGCTTTTTTTAAAGTAGGAGTCTCACTCTGCCACCCAGGCTAGAGTGCAGGGACAGGCTCACGGCCACTGCAGCCTCGACCTGCTGGGCTCAGGTTCTCCTTCCACCTCAGCCCTACAAGCATCAGAACCACAGGCATGCACCACCACACTCAGCTATTTTTAAAATTTATTGTAGAGATGAGGTCTCACCAAGTTGCCTGGCTAGTTTCAAAATCCTGGACTCAGGTAATCCTCTCGCCTCCAACTTCCAAAGTAAATTGTAGGTGTCACCAATTTTTATTTATTTATTTATTTATTTATTTATTTATTTATTTATTTATTTATTTATTAAGGAGATGAGGTCTTGCTATGTTGCCCAGGCTGGTCTTGAACTCCTGTGCTCAAGCGATACTCCCACCTCAGCCTCCAAAGTAGCTGGGATTATAGGTGTATACCACTGTGCCTGACCTGTTATCAATTTTTAAACCACCATCTCCAGGAAGATATACTAAAACCCTCTATTCATTCTTTATTGCTTGTACATTAGAGGGTAGGGAACAGACAGTGGTTTCATATTCCAAAGATACAAGTTCTATTCTCAGCACTGTACTGACTTGACTCATGGTTTAGATAAGTTTTTGACCTTTTCTGGGCCTGTTTCCTAGAGCAAATTCCTCATTCATAAATAAGAGGGTTGGTCTGTTTTCTGAAACAGCTTCTGTGATTCTATCCCCATCCTACTCTCTTTCTACAATACATAATGTAGTGACTGTTTTTGTCCATTTCCTAGTGGTCTGTCAGCTGTGGCTTCTCCCCTACTGGTCCATAAGTGTTCGACAATTCACAATGTGTTTTCAGCAATGCCCCTCGGTGCTAGCATGTCACCTACATGACTAACTCTCAGAACAGGGTTTCCCAGCCTATCTCTTGCTATGGTATATCTAGAAGATGACAATAATGGTACACATTTCCATGGTGTCTGCTGTGGGTCAGGCAAGCACTTCACAACAACCCTGTGAGGTAGGTTACTATTATCATCTTCTTTTTAACATTGAGGAAAGGAAGGCACAGAGTTTTTGGCAGGGCATGTTGCTGTGGGACCACAGCCATCCTGGCTTGCTTGAGACTGAACAGTTTCCTGGATGTGAGACTCGTTAAAACTGAGAGAATCCCAAGCAAACTGGGACAGTTGGCTCCCCCACACAGGAAGGTGACAAGAAGAATCTGCTCAAGGTCAGACAACAACTGACTGGGGGCTCCAGTTGCTCTGGGTGTTGCCTGGCTACTCTGAGGGCTGAAGGGATCAGTGTCCAGGCACAACTGTCCATATCTGTGACATGATATTTTGGAGGAGCTCCGTTTCAATCCAGAGTCTGGTTCCGGTCTCTGTTCTTCCCGATGACCTGATGATTTGGGGCCTCTGAACAAGGCTAGATGATGGGATCAATGACAGCATATTCTTTTGTGCTTTACTTGATTAGGGCCAGAACTAAGGTGAGAAAGCATGACATGTAGGGCGCAAAATGCAAGAAGGAACTCGCTTTCCGGGTGTTGGAAGACACCTCACTTGCCCCACCCTAGTCTTGGTCTGGCCTGATACAAAAAATAAAACCGCAGAAGAGATAAGAGGCCAACCTCCAGAGAGCTTATATTCCCTAAGAAGAACAAGGCAGAAATTAGGAGACTAACAGGAGGGTTGGGGGTGTCAGTTCAGTGTTGCCTGTTTTGTTTGTTTGTTTTTGTGGTTTTTTTTGAGTTGGAGTCTCACTCTGTCGCCCAGATTGGAGTGCAGTGGCCGCTCCCGGCCCCCGCAGCCTCGACCTGCTGGGCTCCAGCGATCCTTCTGCCTCAGCCTTCCACGTAGCCGGAATTACAGGCATGTGCTACTACGCCCGGCTGATTTTTTGATTTATTGTAGAGATGAGGTCTCGCTGCCCAGGCAGGTCTCGAACCCGCGGGCTCAGGCAATCCACTCACCTCAGCCTCCCAGAGGCGTGGGATTACAGGCTGAGCCAACAAGCCCGGCTTTTTTTTTTTGAATTGGAGTCTCACTCTGTTGCCCAGGCTGGATTACAGTGGCACGCTCACAGCCACCGCAGCCTCAACCTGCTGGGCTCAGGCTATCCTTCCGCCTCAGCCTTTCAAGTATCTGGAACCACAGACACACACCACCACACTCGGCTAGTCTTTTTGTGATTTATTGTAGAGACGAGTTCTCGCCAAGTTTCCCAGGCTGGTTTTGAATCCCTGGGCTCAGGTAATCCTCTCACTTCCACCTCCCAAAGTGTTGGGATTATAGGCGTGAATTACTGCACTCGGCTGTTCAGTGTTTCAAACCTGTGTGCCAGGCTCAGTAACTTGATTCTGCACCAGCAATTCATGTGTAGTTTAAGCATGAGATTTCACAGGAGTCACAATTAGCTGGGTTCTAGAACAGAATGAAGGGGTTGAGCCAAGGCAGATGGGTCTGTGATACTTAAAATGTTCTCTGTTTGCACTGTCCAATATGTAGGCCCTTGCCACATGTGGCTACTGACCAAATGAAATGTGACAAGGTCTGAATTTTTAGCTGCATTTGCTTTTAATGAATTTAAATTACAACAGCCGCATGTAGTGAGTGGCTGCACAGCCCCTTGCTACCCAACGTGTGCTTATGGGAGCACAGCATTGGCATCACGTGAGACTTGTTAGAAATGCAGAATCTCAGGCTCCACCCAGACATCCTGAACTGAATCTGCACTTTAGCAAGAACCCCTGGTAAACACAGAGAAGTGTTGATTATAACTGTGGTAAATAGAAGGGTGGGGCTGAAAAATAAACAATGGGAAACGACCACACCTTGAGGTACATGTCCACTGAAGGAATAATTGTCCTTGTGTTCCCTGCTCCCTCTTTCCTTGTGCCACCTTGAAAGAAGGTGGTGAGAGAGGAGAAAATGCGGTGGCAAATGATGGGAAACCACTTCCTCCAACTGTTCACAGAGTGCATTCTTCAGTGCCCTCTCCTTTGGGGAAAGGCTCTCTCACCACTGGTTTCCTGCTTCCTCCAGCCTTTATTTGGCATTTATTGCTCTATGCCTGGCCAGATGCAACTACTATGCTAGTTAACTGCCTCCAGCCAACTGTAGCCTTCTCTATCCTTAAGGAATTTACAAGCCCAAACATGAGACACTTAGGCAGTTATTGAAGTCTTCTTGCTAATGTAAATCTCCCCTGTTGTGATACAAGCTCTTTACTTCCCATCTGAATGGATGAGAGACCTCAAGGCCGTGATCCCTTACACATTGGAAAACATTTCCCTCTGGAAGAGCCTAGTGAGTGGCCACACAGAGGCAGAGAGAGGCACACAGCTTCCTTCTGCCAGTCCTGGCTGATGCAGAAAGAAGGGTAAGGATCCAGAGCAACCCTGCTGATAGCAACCGTGGTGCAGCTCCACCCTACTTACCAGCCTTCCCAATCTGTACAGCCAGGCGGGTCAGCTTGCCCTGCAGCACCGACTTCTCCTTTTTGGGCACCTTTGCTGCCTTCTTGTCCTTTTCCTCATTGTCGACTCCCTCCTGACTGTTGAGTGGCTGGATTTCCAGGGCCACTCCATCCTGGGTCTTTGCTAGGGTGCACACACAAACAGGACAGGTGAGTAGCCAAAGTGGCAGCCCTGAGTGGCAGGCAGGTGGAAGCCAAAAACCCTCTTGGAATATGCCTTGGGCCCCTGACATGGGTTCCACCCACTCCCACCCCATGCCAGCCATAGATCTTGCCTTTAATCCTCTGCTAGGGACTATGAAACAATACTCTAACAACTTTAGAGGAAACAGGGTGCTTTCAGGGTAAGGATTTCATCTTCAGTGGCAGCTTCCTGGCACCACCTCAGAGCCCCAAGGCAGGTTTATTCCAGCAAGGAGATTAATCATGTCACTAAATGCTATTACCAACAACCATCCTTTCTGGAACTCAGTGTTTAAAATAGTGAATCTTTACTGCAGAAAGGGACTGAAGGAGAAGGTTGGCAGATGTTTCTAGAGCATCTGTTAAAAGGCTGCTCTGTTAAATAGTCCCCCTCCCTCTTTTTCTCGGCTGTCAGGGAAGAAACACAGACAACATCCCACCCCCCCACCCCCACTCCACGGTCCAGGGTATTTTCCAGTTCCTTCTTCTATCAGTTGAAGGGTAAGGGAAAGGAATTCCTTTCCTCTCTTGCCGGACAGAGGGAGGTACAGAGGTGGTCACGGGGTTAAGTCTTTTGGGAGAGAGGGAAGAGATTGGTACGAGGGACCCCCTGGAATAAGAGAAAGAAGGGAAACAGACAGACACATAGATCCATTTTGCTTTTAAAAGAAGAGTTAAAGAGAACTAAAATTAAAAGGATTATTTCTGTTTGGCCCTGGTTCTCCAATGAGATGACTATCTCTAAAGACTACTATGGGAAAAACAAACAAACAACCTGCTGGGCATTGTCTCAAGAGAACAGTTATTGCTGGTTCCCAACACCCCTCCAACTTCACCCCTGCAGAGCTAGCCCCTTGCCTAGGATGCCCTTCCTGAGATACTGTCTCTGCTGTCAGACTCACAAACAAGAAGACAGAGACGGGATGTAAACACAGCTACCAAAAGAGAAACACACACCAGATCAGGAGGAAAAAAACAGACCGGAGAGAACAAAGAGACGCAGAGAGAGGTACAGAGAAAGGGCTCTCTCCAAGCACTTTTGAGAAGACCAGGAGAGAAGGATTTCAGATCAGAAGAGGACACCGATGAGGAAGCTATCAAGAGGAGGGTGCAGGGACTGCCCAACTTCCTCCACCATAAGGACCCTGAAGTTTTCCAACCCAGAAACTGATGACCCGCTGGTGTGTAAATCTGGCCGAGGACAATGACGCAGAGAGTTCGGCACCCTGGGAAGAGCGGATCAATCCTACACCCACTCTCAAGAGAAATCTCGACATGAGGTTCTTGAGCCAACAGCAGAGGGTGCTGTTGTTCCATCTTAGGTTGGGATTGGGACCCTGCGACCACCCCCAAATCTCTGCACCTTCCTCAGGATGAGTCATCTGAGCCATAGAAGCAGATAACAGATTTATGGAGAGGAAAAGGGAGAAGGCAGATGGCCTGGAAAGGTCTGGTTAGAGCGTGGGAAGTACAGATGGTAAATGAGTGGGTGGAGAGGTTACCTTTGTTGCGATTTTCAGGGACTCCTTGTTTTTTACCTGTTTGAACAAGAAAGAAAAAAGTGGGGTGGAAACCCAAAGTGACTATTAAGAGATCCAATTGTTGGCCCTGCTCAAAGCCCAAAAGGGCGACAGCAAAGGGGCTGGGCTTCAGGGAAGGGAAATCAATGTAAAGGAAGCTCACACCTAAGGAATCCTTGGGAGAACAACCAAATGCTCATGAAGGTGAGTGCACACTCACACTGAGCAGCTTTCTCTCGGAGCTGGTTGCTGCTGGGTGGGTGCTCCTGGTCTGAGTCACATCACTTGGAAAAATGGGGTGGGGATTAGGAAACGAGAGGTTTGAACTGTTTCTGCCCAATGGCCAAGGACCTGAAAGGTGTCTTCATGTGGCTTCAACAGCACCAGGCAAGTCTCCTTATTCCTCTGCAGGTAGCTGCAGCAATGAGCGGTCTAGGTCCTGAGATAAAGTCTTTCGTTTCCTTTTCATCAACTGCCCTCCACTAAACAGCTCAAGGTGATCCTGCAGCCAAGTGGTAGAAATCCTTCTCTCCCCTAAGGGAAGAAGGAGTGCTTAGGGAAAGGGGTAGGGGGTTTAGTATCTTTTCCTCTTCCTTTTATACCTGTGCATGGCAAAGACTAGACTAACTTCAGGATAGACAGTACCTCTCTGCTACTCCTCTCCTGGTTGTGTGTCTCCTGTACTGAGAGCCCACAGTTTCAGCAGGAATCCATTTTATTCTTCTAGCCAGTTTTCCCTTTGTCTTGATGGCTCATTTAAGAAAGTGTGTGTGTGTGTGGGGGGGGAGTACACAGAGAGCATTTTGGGCTAGAGCACCTAGCCAGCTCATTTTGGGCAGGCTTTATAACTCATTCCTTTCAAATCCACCAATAGATGCAAAAATTAAGGCTTAAATTCAGCCTGATTTTGGTGTCTAGAGTTAGGACCTGGTTTTCATCAGAGCTCCCTGAAGAGCGAGGGTTTACATCTTTATCTCAGCAAGGAGTCTGGACATCTGCTTTCTTTGTTCCAGAAGATTCTTCCAGCCAGGCTTTCCATCCAGATCTGCTCCCTTGTTTGTCCGTTGGGATGAAGGAAAGGGAATCTCATTCCGGGTGTCCCTTACCTTTCTTCTTCTTCTCCTCCTCATTGTCCTCATTGGCTCCCAAGAGGGTAAAGATGATTCCGGTCTGGGAGTTGACGCCCACGGCAGTCACTACCATCCGGCCAGAACCTTCCATGACATGGGTTCCTAAATGGGAAAGAAAATGGGAAGGAATATTTCTTTTCTTTTTTTATACCTAGCTGTGATTTGATGTGAAATACAAACTTAGAAGAAAAAGTAGTCTTCACCCCCATGGATAATGATATACACAGCATAGTAGGAAAAGGTCAAGAGCTGGGCCCATTTAAAACAGATCAAGCAAATCAGAAGTCAGGAGGAAAATATGTCTATTTCCTTGAGAGTAAGCCCTTCCTCCGGCCTCCTTCCTCTCTCCTGCAACCAGCAGAGCTCCCCCACAATCCCTAGAGCACTTGTTTCAAGGAAGACCTCACATAGGTTGCCTGATATTCTTGTATTCCACCCACCAATATGCTATTGCCCTAGATGAACCCAAGAGAAGGAGGTGGAACAAAGCCAGAAGAGAAAGCAGGTTCCAATCCTGTGCCTGGGTGTTTGAGGGAGGTTAAATGTGTGAACTTGGGTAGCTGGAGGCTATACCTGAGAGCAACATGGGGTCTTTGTCTACCGATTTCTTGACGTGGTCTGATTCTCCCGTTAAAGAGCTCTCGTCAATCTTCAGATCATTCCCCTGGATCAGAATTCCATCTGCAGGCAGCAGGTCACCTGGTGCACAGGGGGAAGGGGGAACAGTGAGGAAGGGTAGGTAAGAGCCTGGCAGAGGGTAGGGCCCTCCAGCTCCTCCAACTGCATCTCTGACTGCTCCCATGGGCCCTACCTAGAGAGCCAGGGCCCCAGGAGTATATGGAAAGCCTTTATAAGACAACTTCAGCTCTGTACAACCTGGGGCAAGGTTCCTTCCCAGGTATTTTACAGTAAGTCTCCTACATACCAACTCTCAAGTTACAAACTTTAACAACGCACACCTGTGTTTTTTAAATGTATTATTTCTCTCCACCAGGTGTCAGTATAGCCTGTTAAATACATATAGTATTATATAGCTGATTGTGTTAGTTGGATACCTAAGCTAACTTTGTTGGACTTAAAACAAATTGGTCTTACAAACACACTTTCTGAACAGAACTCTTCCTGTACATTCCAACTGTTATCAACCCCCAAACACCTTTCCACAGTCTGTGTATTATATACTTAACCCTAAGCACACAGGGTACTAGTCTGAAAATCTTTTGGGAGAGTTTTAGCTGCTCCTTTTTTGAAATTCCTTCCCACAATCTCCTTAAACTAACCTAGAACTAACACAATTTGGGGGTCTCATCTTTTTGGGTTTTCAGCAATCCCAGGCTCCTCATGCCAAAGGATCTACCCTTCAATGGCAGTGGTGGTGGCACAAGTACAGAAAACATGGAGCTCTCACCGTATTTGATTTGGGCGATATCACCCACCACAATCTCAGCCACAGGGAGCTGGATGAGGTGGCCATTTCGGATAATGGAGAATTTCTGTTCCTGTTCAATGCGGCTCTGCAGCCCCCGGAATTGTTTCTCTTTGCTCCAGTCGTTAAAGGCAGTCACTAACACCACGATGATCACTGAGAAAAGGATGGCTGCCCCCTCAATCCAGCCAGCTTCTGCCTCATTTTCATCTTCTGGGCTACTTGCAACTTGACCACACACTATGCCAGGGACGGGAGAGAAAGAGTTACTGAGGGACTTTTACTGACATTAAGAAAGGTGGGCAGTGCTTCTACAAGCTCTCCAAGATGGAAAGGCAAGGAGAAGAGAATAACAGCAAATAACACTCTTGACTAGAAGACAGTCAAGGGTAGCAGGATTGAGTGTTGTCTTACCACCAGTATAACTATTTGTATTCCTCCAAAAGAAGCAGAGGCTAAATGGCACAAAATGTGTCAAAACAAATTATAGGCTTGTCACATGTAAGGTCACACTCAATGATTCCCAACACGGGCAGGACTTTTCTCTATTTCCCATAATGCCAGACAACTGGTTGGGGGGCACTTTGAGATACAGGGCTTTGTTGGCTAGGGAAGGGCAGAGGGGCCGTGACGTTCTGAATGAGGATTTGATGGGAGAAGGGGGTAAATGCTCTGGAATAAGAAAGGGTTGGAAGGAGAGCAGATTGATTACTAGCAGGCTTCCTTTGAAGTGGGCTCCACTCTGGATAATGAAGGGAAAGTTTTAACTTATGACTTGCCATCCACCAATACTAAGTATGTTTTGGTGGCTTGGAAAGAACCCAGATCATAGTCACGCTGAGCTGTTGAGGACACTCACTTTCATTGTCCTCACTAGGAGGGTGATAGAAGGATAGACCCAAGGAGATGATGGCTGCGATCTCCAGGATGATGAGCGTGACATCTTGAAGGGCTTCCCACACTAACTCCAAGAAGGTCTTGGGCTTTTTGGGGGGGATTAAGTTCTGTCCGAACACCTGCCTACGTTTCTCCAGATCTGCAGGGTTCCCAGATAGACCTGAAAAAGAGGTAAAAGTGAATGAATGAATGAGGAAAAAAAGGAATGATAAAAGGAGGCAGTTAAAAGATCTCTTTATTAAAAAGACCCCTTGCCTCTTGATCTGCTCAAGTGTGAGATCCAGTTAGGGTGGCAAACCATCCCAATTTGCCCAGGACTCAGGGGGTATCTAAAATGGACAAAGTCTAAAAATGAGCAAAGTGGCCACTCCTGACACCTGGAATTCCAATGTTTTGAGAGGCTGAAGCAGGAGGCTCACTTGAGGCCAAGAGTTTGAGATAAGCCTCGGCAACACAGTGAGACCTCTCTCCACAAAAAAATAACAACAACAACAAAAAATTAGCCGGGTGCGGTGATGCACACCTACAGTCACAGCTACTTGGCAGATAAGGCAGAAGGATTGCTTGAGCCCGGAAGTTTAAGGGCTTCAGTAAGTCAAGATCATGCTACTACACTCTAGCCTAGGTGACAGAATGAGACCTTGTCTTTAAAAAAATTTTTTACAATGAGCAAAGTGGGTTAATTGACCATGGGGGCCACTCACTTCTCTTAGTAACCAGGATAAGCTAACCCAGATGAAAAATTTCATTTATTCCTCATTGAGTACGCTCCAGGCTTCAGCGCTAAGAACATAAACATTAAAATGTTTCTTGGGAGTCACACAGAACTTCTTTCTCACATTAACATGCAAATACTAGTGATGATTTAAATACAGAGTGAGCCTCCATCCACTGGCTCACAAAGGCCAGAAAGAACAAGCTACCTGCTCAAGGTCATGTAAAACAGAGGCAGAGGTCACTCAAGTGTCCAAATTCCCACAATTCCAAGTTCTAGGAGCTCCAGGAGATCACCAGAGCAGAGGCTTCGAGACTATAACTCTTGGGCATCCCCCTTAAGCACATATGTCCCACCTTTTCTGTCACTCACACATACACACACACTCATGCTCATGCACACATACACAGAGAGACACAACCATACACCAAGAGGTACTACTATTCTACCGAGGACTAAGGAGGAACCAAGAGAAGTACTACTGTTTGGGCTGTTTGGGCTGAACAGAAAGAACCAGAAAGGTAAGGCCACGATATTTTCAGACACTACACAGTCCTTGATGACCAATATGCTCCCCGCCAACACACATGTATGCTTATGGGTCTGTGTATGCACACACCAGTGACACTGACACCACGCACACATCAACTCCCCACACATCATATACACCATGCACCACATACACACACCACTCACATCCACACACCACACACCACACACACACACCACTCATATCACACACCATACCACATACACACACCATACATCTCATATACACACCACACATCACTTACACCACACACACAACAAACATATACCACACACAACACAGACACTGCACACATATACAACGTACCCCACGTATACCACACACGCATCACACACCATCACACACACATACATTCTAGGCACATTTCCAAAGGGACAAGAGAGAGGCAGAATTATTCTGTGTCTTCCTTATACTTCGGCCCTTCCACCAGCCCCCGGGGGGTTACTCTATTTGAAGGGAAGAGGGGAAATCTACCGTGGCAACTAACGCCAGTTGGCACTCATCAAATTGTTTACACACTAAGGAGAATTTGTTCCGGCTTTGGCACTGGAAGCTGTTGGGAGCTGTTGGCTGCCTATTTGATGGACTCCCCACAGGCAGGGTAGGGCGACCTTCATCTTGGAAAACAGTCAGCAGCTGGGGTCAGATTGAAAGGAAGGGGATATTCAACAGAGCTTCACAGAGAGAGCAAGGAAAAGCAGATGTTGCAAGGACAAAATGGAGCTGGCGATGCCAGAGGACTTCACACTTCAGTCAACATGGAGGACAAGTCCATGGGAAGGAATGAGGACACAGGTGAGGACTAACAGCTACTCTACACAGTACCTAGCTTTGGGGCAGTGCTAGTGTTTAGGAGAGAGAACAGGGAGCTGGTCGGGGAAGTGGTGCCTGATGTCCTTATCCAGGATCTCCTGCCTCCCAGTGCTCAAGTACATCAATCACCCTGGCCTCCAGCTGAATGGCACAGCTGAGCTCCACAGGGGAGTGAGGTTTGGCCAAAGCAAGTTGGACTGTTTCCCAGAGGTTCCCTGCCTCCACTACCCTGGGAAATCAGGTTCCCAGTAGAAAAGAAAAGTGAGGGCCTGGGAAAGGAGTGTTGCAGCTGGGAATCTTTAGTCCCTGGGCAGGCAGAGGCAGAGTTGCCAGGGGGCAGGACCCTGGTGGTTCTTTCTCCTCAGGGACCAGAGATGGCAAAGCTGTGCCAACTTGAGCCAGCTGTATTGGAAAGTCAGGCTTGCTTAAGGGAAATATGAGTTCTGGTAATGTGGTAATGTACTTAGGATATTTCTAAAAGAAG